TAAATGGATCTACCCTGCCTTGTATCAATGATTCAAGATGGTGGTGGTGTAATGGTGTGGGGAATATTTTCTCGGCACACTTTGGGCCCCATAGTACCAATTGAGCATCATGTTAATTTCACAGCCTACATGAGTATTGTTGCTGACCATGTCCATCCCTTTATGACCACAATGAACCCATCTACTGATGGCTACTTCCAGCAGGATAATGCGTTAGGTCATAAAGCATGACTTATCTCAGACTGATTTCTTGAACATGACAATGAGTTCACTGTACTCAAATGGCCTCCAGTCACCAGATGTCAATCCACTAAAGCACCTTAGGGATGTGGTGGAACAGGAGATTTGCATCATGGATGTGCAGCTGACAAATCTGCAGCAACTGTGTGATGCTATCATGTCAATATGGAACAAAATCTCTGAGGAATATTTCCAGTACCCTGTTGAATCTATGTCACGAAGGATTATGGCAGTTCTGAAGGTAAAAGGGGGTTTAGCCTGTAACTATGCAAGGTGTACCCAATAAAGTGGCCAGTGAGTGTATGTGAGTTTATAAAAAACTTATATTTTATTGTAACTTTAACTTAATTTGATTATAATGCAATAATGTGCTCCTTTTGGAAAGCTGCTTTGAAACAATAATTACAGTAAAAAGAGCTATACAATTAAACTAGAATTGAATAAAAGCCATGACATGTATATCAGCTTTCTTGGAAAGACGCTCTGTCAGACATTTAGAGGATCGGAACCAACAGTTGCGTTATTACATTTATATAATGTCACCAGGGTGTTGTGCAGATAATCTGCATTTGCTTGGAGAGTAATATGAAAGGGGATGAATAATGGTGAACCATTATTGTTTTAAAGCAAAGTTGCAAAGTCGAATGTTTCACTTTTTACATTGATGTGGCAGAGGAACATTCTGTTCAATATGCAAATACAGTCTCAGACGCAGTAATTTCATTGGCTGTTATGCTTGTTGACACCTTTAACTTGGCAGGTTGTCACAATCAAATTTCATGGGTTAAGTTTTATGACTTTTGGCCCTGATTGCTTTCCACAGAGTAATTGTAAACCAGTCATTACATATGTGCTCTAGAAAGCTAAAGGGTGAAGATACATATTGCAGCACTGCTAGCATGAGGATATATTTACAGTGTGTGTGTGAGTGTGTGTGTATATTTTTATAAACAGTTCAGATGCAAAACCTAAGTGCCATCTAGAATTTTCTTCTACAATGAGCATTTTTCTCTGCCTAATGTTCAATTATTTCATGTTAAGAACGATAAAAATAACCTATTCTTTGCCATAAAAGTAAAATTTCTGAGCCTGCAAAATAAAATTAAAACGGCACTTTGAGGTTTTTGAATCTGAATTCTTTATATTTGTGTGTGTGTGTGTGTGTGTGTATGTGTATATATGTGTGTGTGTATATATATATATATATATATATATATATATATATATATATATAGGTGAAGTCAGAATTATAAGCCCCCCTGAATTAATTTTCACCATTTCTAAACATAAGTTTTAATAACTCATTTAAAAATTGTCAAAGGGGGGCTAATAATTCTGACTTCAACGGTATATTATTCTGAAAAAAGCATTACAAATATAAACAGAGCTTGCAATGAAGAGATTTTTTTTAATCAAGGATGCAGATGTGTGCACTTTCATTTGTGTTTCTGCTACTTTGTGCTCCAAGTATAAAAGTGTTGTTATTAGGTATGTTGATGTAATATTAAAAACTTAAGATGCATATGATGCTATTATCATAACAAGTTCTGTAAAGTTCTATAAAAAATGTTGCACAGTTGTATGCATTTAAAAACTGTTTAATAGTTAATAAAGCTGACACATCAAGGCAAAAGACTGCACTTGCATTGAACTGGTAATGTCAAAAGTCACATAAACATTTCTTTGTGTATAAACGTGTTATAGATTTCTGCGGATTTTTAGCCCATCATTAATTCTTTTTATCTTCTTGAGTAAATGTGTAAATCTTAATTTATTCAGTTTTTATTCAGTAATTAATTACTTTATTTCATATATTAAGGTTTTAATTATGATACTCTGCTGGATACTCCCAAAATAATTCCGCAGATTTTTGCCAAAATTCTCTGCAGAAATAGCAAAAAACGTCCGCAGATTCCGTCTGGCCCTGAAAATAACTTACAGTAACAGTCCAAAAACTAGTACAGCCAAATATATATGTCATAGAAAAACATTAACCCCTTGATGCACAAGCTGTAAAATAGATACAGAAAAAAAATACACTTAGACGGGTCATTTTAGACCCATGTAGAGCATCAAAGGGTTAAATACAAATTTTAAAAAAAAGAGGAAAAATTTTATTTTGTAATCATTACAAAATAAAATGTAAAAATTAAGTTGAAACTTTGTAGGTTGCAATTTTTTTTTTAGATATTTTGCTTGAATTTAATTGCATTATCTTTCAATTTCTAAATATGTTTGTTGACTAGTATTATTTTAAAATATACATCCGTTTAATAAATCTGTTTTAAATGCACCAAAATACACTGCCTATATTACCCGAGAAATGGTTACAAATATTCATTTTCAAATTGGTCTGTACTCAGTTATGCTGAGTACTGTATATGTGTTTAATTTTTATTGTTAATTTCATTTTATTTATGTATAACTCGGTATTCTCCTATATTACAGATCAATAATAAAGAACCAGAATACTGGAACATGCGGTAATGCTGCCATCTAGCGTTCAATGTTGCCATAAACCAAGCTCCTGAATCAACAATAAATAAATAACTTGTTTTTATTTAAAAAAATAAATAAAATCACAGTATTTTGATGGTAACTGCAGGAACAGTCATAAATGTCTTCAGTTTTCACATTATCTTGACCAAATGGCTATTACATAAATTGTTTAAATTAGATTTGCTATTACATGACTTTCCCAATTACAAGCCGATTTTTTTTATTTGACTTTGGGTGTTACTAAAATTTGTTTGCAAGCGATGTGAAAACGCCACCTTATTTTGCATCGTGAAACATTAGATGTTATGTTATAGACCAGTAGTTCTCATACTTACTTCACCAAGTACCACCTGAGTAAAAAATTGTCTCTCCAAGTACCCCATAATGACCAGTATTGAAATACAGAGTACGTATTCGGCTTAATTAAGCAGCTACAGCTACGCACAGTTCAAAAACGTGGCAGATTAACTCCTATTGTGAATATTTATTATTGTCAGCCACTTTTAACATTATTAATAGTTTATACATTAACTAAAACATTAAAAATAATTAAAACATCAATGTGTGCTTTTAAAAGTTAATTAAAAATGGGACTGTTCCTAAAGTAAACAGAAAGCTGCTGTGCTTAAATGCAAAGTATTAACATAGTAGCCTATTCATCAAAACCTGTAAATGTGCCTTGGACCTCAGAAATATCATCATATTCATATATAAACTTTGATAAATTTTGAAATATATGGTACATGTTATATATAATTTATTTTATATCTTTGAAATCTAGACATTAACTTGCATTTTAAATATATGATTTATATTTATATATTTAAATTAGAAATTAGATCTGCTTACTGCGCATTAGAGTAGGCTTTGTGTGTCAGAAAAGCTATTAAACTATAGCTGTCAACATTAGGATATAATAATACAGGATATGCCCCCAACAACCATTACAAATAGGCTATGGGAAAAAAATTGCTTTAAATGATAGAATACATAACAAACAGTAAAAAATTTGAAATAAAAGGTTTAGCCTATTAAAATCAATTTACTGACATCTGTGTTATCGTATGCGTTAAAAGTGTGTTAATTTTTTTACTTTAATTATTCAGCAATTCCTCCATGTACTACTGGAAGGAAGCCTGCGTACCAGTGGTACACCAGTTTGAGAACCACTGTTATAGACCATTTTGAGGGATGTAAACAAAAACAGCGGTCCCAACATATTTGCTGTTTTACATTTTTTATTTCTAAAGATTCCAATAAGAGCCACAGATTGATAAATAATTTTATGATAGCCATTTTAACATGAAGTTATGATTGAAATAGTTTAATAACAAACAGGAAATGTTCATGGGTCAATGACATGACCATGGGGCGATAAGCGTTTTCAAGGTATACCTCGGTTTGAAAAAGTCAAGGTTTTAAAAGTCAAAATCTTCTGCTATATCGTCCTAAGGTATGTATTTGATTTTTTTATTTACGACAACCTTATCTCAAGCAGAAAATATATCCAAAGATGCCATTTTAAAGTGTAAAGAAGTTTGTGTTTTTGGATCTAATGAAAACAGCAAAAGTTGATAATTTATTTAAATTATTTAGCCGGACATGTTTATGGTTACAAAATATTAAAAACGTTTCTCAATATAAAATAAAGGCTATATTGTGTTCAAAGGGGAACAAAGCTTTTGTTTTTCCCCAGACATAAAAAACATTGTATAGCCGTAATCACAATACCGCGAAACCGTGATATTTTTATCCAAGGTTTATCATACCGTCAGAATCTTTTACCGGCCCATGCCCATCATGACCACACTGAAATGGTCTATAGGCCAAGAACTAGAAGATGCAGTAAACGATTTTACGATACAAACAGTGATTTAGCCTATACTATGAAAAAAAATAACTGCAAGATGATGAGAGTATTTCCCAGAGATGGGTTGCGGAAGGGCATCTGCTGCGTAAAAACTTGCTGGATAAGTTGGCGGTTCATTCCGCTGTGGCGACCCCGGATTAATAAAGGGACTAAGCCGACAAGAAAATGAATGACGAGAGTAAATTCCTCACAACTTTCAACTTAGGCAAAAAATGACATGGTAAATACACATAAAAGCAGGTACACGATTCAAGTTCGGCTACATGTGAACGTACTGTAAGACACCCCTCCTTTGAAACCAGTGGTCAGTGAGTTCAAGAGAAAGTGTGCGCGTGGCCGCGGCTCTCTCAGCACGCGCACGGAGGCGCAATGAAATACCAGAGTGCGCTCTTCCAGACATCACTAAGACCGCAACAGATTTACGTGGATGAGGCACTCGATCATATAACACAAATAAACGAGCCTTCCTTCCACATACCAAAGGAGTAACGTCTGTTTATTAATTTTTTAAATATGAAATTCACAGAAACGCGCAAGTGACCTTGGGAATCGCAGGACTTTTCGGAAGTTTTGAACATCAATACGCGTTAGACACGCCACGGAAAAACTCGACATGAATGTTTCTCACGGACTACTTAACCGGACGATCTCCACAGTGAAGCATCCTCTGGACGCCGGTCGAGGATGCTGCAACTTCTCGGTGATCACCAGCGACGGGTTCGGTTCACCGATCCAGGACGAGCGCGAACAGTTCATCACGCGTCTGGTGCAGATAGCGGTGCTCTGCGTGCTCTCGCTGACTGTCATTTTCGGCATCTTCTTCCTCGGATGCAATCTACTGATAAAGTCAGAGAGCATGATAAACTTGCTGGTGGAGGACAGGAGACCTTCTAAAGACGCGGAAATTATTATGATCGCTGCATGAGTGGAGCAGACTGCGTGATCATCACCAGTGACTTTCCTTACACAAACTCATCTCTTCATGCATGAAAGTCACCAGCTGGTTTGAGTTTCACACCAGTGCTGAATGGATTTTTATAAAAGGTAGCCTATATTTCATCTTGGATCTGAAAAACATTCATGTTGCAGATGTAAAATGTAAAAAGTTTGTCTTACATGTTTGTCTTCATGGAGGAACACCGAGGGCAGAGAAAGATCCAGATTCATTACTCCAGGATGGATCAGTTGGAATTGAGAACAATGTCACTTGTTTTATACACATTGGACGAATTGATTAATGTTTGGCATGTATCGAAATGAATGGATTTTCAATGGGTTAAGGAAATATGATTGTATTAACTTGCATGCAAAATATATATTAAAAACTGATTCAAATGTTATGATTATGCATTCAGCATTTCTGGACTTTTTCAAACAATGTTTGACAGCAATGAGCAAAAAACACTCCAAATTTATAAACACAGCATGTATATAGTATATATTTGCAATTAAGAGAAATTTGATTTGTGCATTTGCTTCATTGATTAATAAGAGATATTTTTGTGTGTTTAATATGATTGTAAACATGCATGCAAAATGGATTAAAAACAAATGCAAAGATTCTGCAGTCGAAATGAATGTGCCTACAGAATCTTTAAATAAAAAACATCTACATGTTCAGTTTTTTCACCTATTAGGCTACCATCTTGACGGAATTTGTTGTCGATGTTCAACTTTACAACCAATTTTAAAAACAAAACAAAGTAGTGTCCAAATTATAGTTATTGTTTTAAAATGCAAATTCAGACAATATAAAGCCTATTCATCATTTTTTGTTGGTTACTAAAATCAGTTTGAAAAAGAAACCACCATCTTACTTTTCAACGAAAAACCATAAATTCATTAGCTGCTGTGTAAAAGTCACAAAAAAAAAACATTTTAGGTAATGAGGACCAAATATCCTCTGTACATCAGCAGGTTAACCAAGCTGTCATCACATTTCAGGTTAAAGTACAGTGTTTTAAAAATGTAATTATTAATTAGTCTAATTATATTGCAGGTCGTTAGAAAATGTTCCATCATAAAGTCAGCAGAGTAAGAATGCAAAGCTCTAAGAGAAAATAATGAAAAAACAAATGATTAGCAGAAAGTTTAGATGATAAACAAGCGAACTATAGTTTTAAATTAAACAGTTTGGTGCAGATCACTCACATAATTTACAAGATTTGGTGGACTACTGAAATATCTGTAAATATAATACAACTATTAGTACCTGTACTTTATGTAAAATATGGTTCAGTTTTGTGCTCTTGAGATGTGATGAACTCTAAAACTTCTTAGCAGTGTAAAATGCATACATTTCACATACTTACATACATACAAGGCATATACAGCATAGGTATATTTAATTTTGTTAGTAAAGTTTGTTTGTTTGTCTTTATTAATCCCAAAAGGAAATTTGTCACAGCAAAGCTCTCCATAATAAAGGTAAATAAAATAAGTTACATTTATATAAAAATAATAATAAAATTTCATTCATACTGCACTCTTAAGTTTCAAACAACGAGTAGACACTTGTCCATATGTAATAACTATTACAATTCAGCATAATTCATCTGGTATGACTTTGGTTACAATCTGATCACTGTTGGCAAAAATGACTTCCTGTATCTTTCTCTGTAACACCGGGGTTAAATTAATCTTGCACTAAAAGAACTTACACATGCTGCACGTGGTTCATCATACTGACAAATTCGTCCATCATTCAATCATGTGCAATCTCTTCTATAGTGGGTAAAACACACCCCACAACAGAACCTGTGTTGTTTTGTTAGGAAACACCCAACGCCTTTCCTTCAAATTCTGTTAGCAGACACTGTGGTTGGTAGCTGGTTCTGTCTAAAAACAGATGGTTGATGTTAACATTTTAAACTGCAGCAACATGGTTTTCCATCAACAAGCACTTAAAATGTCAGAAAAGATGTCAGCTGTTTATTATGACATTGTGCTGACTCACCAACTGCCTTTCCACATAAAACCACTGGCACATTTTAAGACCACATTTTTACACACAAACACCAAGTGAACTGCAAACACTGGATGAAAAGGATAAGTATGACGTTTTAGGCAAAGTGTGATATTACGTAATGCAACCTAAGGCCCTCTGTACTCTAATTATATTAACAAATGTATAATGTGCAAGAAAAACAGTCTTATTTTAACTTGCTTTAACAAAATCCCAGCGCAGTTCTTAAACCCAAACGTGAGAGTAACACAATGGAGATGTTGCATAATTCCCTAAAATCTGTTGGATTACATATTATCCTCAGTATTTGTACACAGACTAAAAGCATGACATCATAAAACACTATTCACCGCTGTGCATGTGACAGCTGAAAACGTGCCAAAGACGTTACTACAATCACTGCCTTAAAACAGATGGTGCAGAAATACATGAAATGCAGGACAAAGAGCCATAATCTAAATTTAAGATTAAGGCTGCATGGTATATCAGTGACCCCAATCCTACAACATAAGACCCCAGCCGGACACATGTAACTGATCACAGCGCTTTTCCTAAAGCTTGTAATGCTTGGCTATATGCTGCTTTCTGATTTCATTTAAAACATGAGCCAAATATATTTAATGCTTGATAAGTAGGAAAGGCTGTCAAGGCCTAGATTAGACATTTTTAAAAGAAAATTATATTTTTATTTATTAAGGGTTTATTAAATTGATCAAAAGTGACAGTAAAGTCATTTAACAAATTGATGTATTTTTATTATTCATCATTATATTCTTGTTCAAAGATTTGTGAAAAACGACATTCCCCCTTAAGCAGACATTTATTTTTACTATGTACAATGATAAGAAATGTTTAAATCAAGCCCTAGTGAAGCTAATACGGAACTGAAATTGCAATTCATCAAAATTCCGCTAGTTCTGGCTCCATAATAAAGCATATTTCTATTGAGCCCACTGTTAAAATGGGCAAATTTACAGCAGAAACAAAAGGTGTTTACAGCCTGGTACAGTCCACACCACCTGTTCCACAGCTAAAATTAATGCAGAGTTTCTTTCTTTCTTTTGACAATAAATAAATAAATAAATAAATAAATAAAAAATTGGTCATTGCGAGCACTGGGCTGTTGGTCCAAAAACTCTCAAACCCGTGACAGCTGCAGTGTCACACTGATTGACCACAGAGATTCTTGTCCATTTGTCTTTAGTGGATGTCAAGCATTTATGGGGACTTGAATGAGCGAGTGAGGATGTAAAGATGCAATATTAAAGGTGCTTCGTATGGAGGGTTTCAGTCATATCAGAATAGCTCACTCTTGCAAAATACATGAATACTGAAAAGTTTTGCTGACAATTATCTGTCAAATTAGGCACATTTAGTTTTAATATTTAAAAAAGTTGAGGTTTTAAAATTTTGGCTAAAAGGTTCCTACGGTTTTCCCAGAAAAAAATGACACTTTGTGGCTGGAAGGGCATTCGCTGCGTAAAAACTTGCTGGATAAGTTGGCGGTTCATTCTGCTGTGGCGACCCCAGTTTAATAAAGGGACAAAGCCGGCAAGAAAATGAATGTTCCTACAATATATATTTACTGCGTTTATGACTATTTTATGTTTCTCAGTTTTTAGGGCAACAGTATCTCTAGCAGAAAATGATTTAAGCAATTTACAGTTTCAAAATATTGTAAATGTTTCTTAAAATTAAATATTTGTTCAATGGGGGGAAAAGAAGTTGTTTTTTAACCGAGATATTTAAAATATCACAGTATTGTGATTACTGCTCTATGTTCTATTTTTTTGTCAAAGGTTATCATATCATCAGAAATTACCCCATGCCGGATTAATAAATCTATAACTGATATATATGCTGGGTTATTTCAACTTAATTTGGACAAAACTAACTGCTGGGTAAGTTTTTTTTTTTTTTTACAACTAACACACACACACACCCACACACACGTAGTCTCCCATCCAGGTACTGACCGGGCGCAGCCCTGCTTGGCTTCCGTGGGTGACCATGTAAGAGTTGCAGAAAGCTAATTGCCGACCTGCATGCCAGTGGATGTTGATAGAAACCAAAGAAATACATATATGCAAAGAAAACAAACCTAATAAGATTACAAATTAAGTTATGTGTATTAAAATGTAATGAGACAGGGAAAAAGTATTGAACACATGAAGAAAGAAAGGCAGTGAAAGCTCAGGCAGAATCTGAATTCCTTTAGAAGTTATTCAGTAATCCTCTGCCCTTCGTCATTGTAAATTAATATTTGCTGCTTTAGTCTAACATCTACATTTTTAGGATGATTTAGATGAAACCAAAGTGGACTTTTCAGCAAGATAATGATCCAAAACACAGCCAAGGAAACTCAGCTTTCAGAGGAAGAAAAGCAAGCTGTAGAATGGCCCAGCCAATCACCTGACTTGAATCCAATAGAGAATACAAATTAAAGATCAGATTTTATAGACGAGACCCACAGAAACATCAAGAGTTTTACACTGTTGAAGTCTGTAAAGAAAATCTCAATGCATGTGACTTCATTCTTCATATGAGAGTCATCTTTAAGCTGCCATCACTAAAAAAGTCTTTTAGATAAAGTGTTAAATACATTTCAGTATTTCAGTGCTTTCTCCTTATGCAAATTCATTACTTTGTTTTATTTTTATGTTTGTATTGTTTGGCTTTTTACCAAAATCTGGTTCAATTCCATGTCAACATCAGCTTCTTTAGAACTATTTTTCCCAGGAAACAACATGATGCATTCATAACTTAATTTCTCCACTGTATGTTATTTAAATGTAATTTTATAAAATGTCAATATTTGACTCAACTTTGGGTTAATGCAACCCAGCATTTCTTATGTGCCAGATTCTTCATGCACTTTGTTTAAATATTTAAAACACTTCGCAGCTATGAAATAACGAATTCACATTGATTTTCGCAATATGTCCAGTTGGATTCTGCCGTCTATGCATATCTTATTTTTCTCCTTACAAATATCACAAAAACCATGATGACTGAGCTTAAAAAAAATGCCAGCCAGCCACGGGATCTCATGAATTTTCCCCAGCGAGGCACTGAATGATTGATGCCGTGATTGCTTTATATTTCTTCGGCTCTTCTTTAAAGATAGAGGGAGAGCGAGTGCTAGCATGGATGAAAGGAATGGAAGAAAAGGTCACTCCCGGTGGTAGTGACTGTCAGACAGCGGTACGGTCCTGAGAAGTGACGTGGCATTACAAACTGACAGAGCTAGAGAAAGGCTATGGAACAGGGGAAATGTCAGAGCGAAAAGAGTGGAAGAAAAAAAAAACGTGAGGTCTTACGATACATGCTAGCAAAACAGTAAAAGAAGGACAAGACAGAACACAGCTACCTTAATCGGTTACGCAACGAGCAATTGTGTAAGACACAGAAATAATCTCAGACTTTAAAGTGATTTTTCAGAAGACAAATATTCTGAAGTCACTGCTTGCCACCAATCCTCAGAGACTTTCACTGACGAAGCGTAATTATAACTGTGCCCTAAACTACTTTGAGGTGAATCCAGAACCATTATGCCATCTACATGTATGAAATCTCGTCTTTTTAAATAGCATCTGACAGCTTTACTCCCA